ATAATTTATATTTTTTAGTTACCACATTTTTTTCTTGTCTCATTTTCTTTTGATTTTTTTATTCTTTTTTTTTTATTTCTTCTACTTTTGTTTTTACTTCTTTTACTTTTTGTTTAGAAAGGTCTTGTGGAAAAAACGTGATACTTACAGGTTTGACTCTCTGTAAATCGTTGTTACTGCTGTTAGGAGTTATTTGATATTGTTGAAGAGTTTTTGATCAAAAAAAATTTCAGGTTTCTTTTAATATTATTTATATATAACTGAAATCTTTGATAGACAAAATTCCGATATGAATTTTTTTTTTTTCTGTTTTTATATAGCCTAACAGATTGTAGTCAGTAAAGAACCATCATCATTTAGATTTACTGCCAAAAACTTTTGCTTATTGAAGTATTTAGTAGGTATGAAATGGGCACTGTAAGTGAAGTATCGGTCCCTTTGAACACCTGCAACAAGGTTTTTGTTCAACGAGATTATTCTCAAGGACTAGGTGTCCAATTTGAAGTTACTTACCCTGCTGGCTTGGAAGGAAAGGTACTTTTGGTATTATGGCATTACACTTTAACATTTATGGAAGTCACCTTGAAACTTCTACTAACACTGTGTTATTTAAATGATACATAATGGTTTCTAAGTTTTTGAGGACTTTTTTTGTGAAATAAATGCTTTATATAGATTAGTTTGTTTTAACTCTGACAGATGTTTCTTAATGATTTTAGTTTTATCTGTAATACAAATTTTTATCATTCTTTTAACTGCTTTTATATTTACAACGTATGAAAGTACACTTTCTGACTTTAAAAATCAAGAATTTAAGCATCAGCAATTTTTACAATTTCATCTTGTTATTAATTTACAGAATAATATATGCGATTTGTGAATTTAGGATTTTTCACTGATTAGTTTACCATTCTTTTTTGACAGGTAAGTGAGGAGACATGGAGGAACACAATTGAGACCCTGAACGAGCATTATAATAAAGCGGAAGAAGTTTGCTGCGCAACGGTCATGGAAACTTTGATTGGATGTTTTTCATGTTACGTTTCTCGAATATTCTCGAAGGTAACAGTTGGTAATTTAATTTTTTCTCTAAGCACTCTGACACTAAGTAACTCCAAACCTTCAAAAAGAACTTCATATTTATATCATTTTTTAGTTTTAATCGACTTTTATTTTGAGAAAGCTTTCTTATCTGCGAACTATAATTTTTAAAATCCTCGCAACGTTGAAAAAATCGTAATTAATTTGAGACGTTATTGGTTGTCAGACCTTAGCATTGTTAGTTGTCAAGTTAAGTCATCTCTGCATTTATAATTACTTTATTCTTTCCAACTGTACGGTTTCTGAGACGTTTGCATACTTGCAGGCTCTTCTACATTATTGGTTTATTGTCTCATAAAGGTATTTTTGTGGATCAAACAATAAAAACTACTTATCACTTATGTTTTTTTTCTACTGCTTCCACCTTGCTTTATCTTAGTTTTTAGACTCAGTACGAGAAACAGTTGATAGAAATAAAGAAGTTCATTGACGAACAAAATGAAAGGATATACATTCCTGCTGGCTTGCACTTGACCGATCCGATAGAACGAGGGATGCGAGTGGTAATTTTTCCAGTTTTTAGTCAGATGTGGATGGAAATTATGGAAATTCAGCTTTAGTGTAAATTTGTTGCTTTTTTTATCAAAAGAGGTGTTTGACAGCAAAAAAGCTTTTCTTCATCAAGTATTTTTTGGTCGTGAAGTTGAGCAAAAAAGTTTTTTGAATCTTATTTTACCATTTAGTTTGAAATCAGCCTCTTGACAACGTCACCCTTATTAAATCGTGGCAGTGGAGATCATAATACCTTTGATCACGGAAATTCTACAGCCAATGTTATTAATGATCGAGGAAAATGACCTGTGCAGCTGCTGGTAGAATCAGCTCTGTAAATACATGGATTTATACCGCCTTTCTTGCATTACAATGTGAAAGTAATTTGTTTATCCTTTCTGCGTCAAGAATCGTGGTCATTCAACTTAATTTCCTGCCTGTAAAGTCTGCTCGGCAAGTCGTGTCATAATTTTTTTGCTTAATACATGCTTTCTAAACCTCTGTATTCCGTATTAGTTAAGAACTGATACCACATTCACTTGCTTTTACTAATTTCGGCTGTGAAGGACCATTTTTAAAAAAATTTTTTCTTTAGCTTAGCAGTTAAGAAAGAATGGAGTCGTAAATGGCCACCAGCAGAATTTTATTTTTTTAAATGGTTACTGAGTGGTGTTTACTTATATGAAAAAGATTTTGTTTCTAAGTTTGCTCGAGATGTTATATTTTTCTCCGCAGATGTTTCAGAGTGTCTTTCCTATCAAGAGAATCTTCCAGAATTTGACCATTTTTTTCGGTAAAATTTTTTCGAAGGGTTTTTCGATGGGCTCTTCTGCAAACGTCTGTGATTCGTCGTTTTATTGTTGATTTGGCATTTGTTAATAGACTTATATATTGAAAGCCTTCAAAAATCATACAAACTAATGTAGGGAAGGTTTCTCTTGAATTAATTGTTTATGGTTTTTGTAATTATCACAGTTTGTATCGCTGCTGGTATGAGTACGGGTTTAACTTTTTTCGTATGGAAACAAGTTTCCTCTTTGTTCCCTTTGCCATCGTTGTTTAGCCCTGAAGCAGTTGAGTTGTCCGTTAGCTATTAGGATCAGCCATAGTGAAAAAGTTTTTCTAATACGGAAATAATAATTCACCTCCGCGAAGTATTAGTTTGTGTAATCTATTGACTTCCATCTCTGTTGCTTCCTGTATCTTAAATTACTTTTTTTAAAATTATTTGCGGAACACCTTCCAAAATATCTTCCATTTTTGTCAAAATCACTGGTGGATGGCGTAATTTAGTTTAGAGAGGATTTGAGTCGCGGCTTAGAGTGGTTTCATGAGATTTGTCTAGTTTAGAGGGACAGCTATAATAAACTTACCTGGCAAGTCTTGGATATATTGTACATTTAGGAAGTGTTGCTGCTGTAGTCACTTATTGAAATTTGGCGTGCTTTAAGAGTACAGTGGATTTGAAGTAGTTTGGGAGGTGTTTCCAAATACCTTGTTATTTTGGTAGGTTTGCAGTAGACGTCTTTGTCACGTTTATGCTTGGCACAATGCCTTCGCCAAAATTTGCCCAGATTTCTCAATTTTTGCTTCTCCGCTTTTAATTTTTTTTTTTTTTTTTTTTTTTTTTTTT